ATCACTTGCCCCAGAGTTCCTATCTATACCTTGTGGCTAATAGCCACTGATGGACCTCTGCTCCATATGCTTATTTCAGTGAGTTATCTACTACAACCACTCCCCCCCATTAATAATTAATTTTATTAAAAGATAAGTCAAGTATACATAAACAAGATTGCTGTTTAAACATTAATACAAACTGTAAGTGCAGATACATATTTCACAATGCCGTCTATTAACTTGTCAGCAGGATCTTCCTATGACCATATCCTTGTCACTTTCTTGTGATTTTCCAATTATTCTACTATTACTAAAGTAATCACGTATAATAAATCCAGATATATCTTAGAAGGACCTCAATAGTATTTTATGAGAGTGCTCAGACCATTAAAAATTCTCATCGATGTATCCATTCTGCACAGCCAGTATTTGCTGGTAATACATCGTTTTCTGTAAAATATGTTATGAGAGGACACCATTTTCGAATGAATCTGCAATGGGACCACGTGAGCCTCATGGGGGTGGCTATTCCAAGGGTGAGGTGCCATGGCTAGAAAGGCTCTGCCTCTGATGCCCCACCCACGTCACTTCTGTAGTCAGTCAGGCACAGAGAGCAGGGCTTGAGAAGACCTTAACTTTGAGGTAGGACAATGCAGGAGGAGGTAGTCCTTCAGAAACAGAGTAGCCAGTGCAGACCTTTCATCACAGGGATGACTCAGTCTCTGTATCCAGCTTCGACAATAACCTGGTTGCTCTATTTTGGAGCAACTGAAGATTCTGAAGAGTTCTCTAAGGCAGGTCCCAGATGGCCTACGCCGAGTTCAAATTCCAGTAGAATTTAGAGTGCGATTTTCAAGTCAATTTTAATACTCCTTTGTCTTGCTAGGGAAAGTTTCATTTAATAGCCTAAGCTGCTTTGGTAATCCTGCTCCAGGAAGCTGTTTCATTTATCTCGCTGAGTAGTTTTAACAAATAAGCCTCTTTGATGGCTGTTTGCCAGGAAGCCAAGGCTAGACGCCTAATAACATTATTACAATACTTATATGATGGCCGGTATTGAAAATAAGAGGCAGCTGTGTTCTCGGACCTAGAAACTGTAGCCCACGGAGCAAGTCACTGTATCTCATCATAACCTGCCTCACAGGACTGTTGTGTAGACAACACTGGACCCTGTGCGACCCTGAGCTTCTCGGAGGAAGACGAGGTAGGAAGTAGACAAAATATTTGCTTAAAAGCAGGCAGCATGGAAAAACACCCTTCTGTACAATGGGAAGGGGTCAGAGAGAATGAGATAACATGCTGAGTCACAAGAGTCATATATAATTATGTTAGTTTTCATTGGGTGGGCCAACTTGCCTTCAGTTGCAAGGAGCAAGCTTAGGCGTTGGGCTCTTTATGGACTCAGACAAGTCCAGATTTGTCCTCTTCCCATAGCATGTACCAAAGAACCACGCTCAAAGCAAGATTTTACCCATAAATCAGAATGAGGGAGATTGACTGGTTGAGTTTCTGAGGTGATTAACAAATTGACTCCACGATCACTGCTGGTTTTGAGCCAGTTGCTGTCTCTCAACTTGGCCATCCACACAGTGTTGCTATGAGAATAAAATGGGGAGAAAGGAGACCATGTATGCTTCCCTCAGCTCCTCGGTGGAAGGGTAGGATAAAAACGTATTGGACAAATAAATCTTGTAGAATTACGTTAGGTAAAAATCATTAGTCACACACCCGGAATGGTGATCCCTCTTTCAACCAGTCTTAATTCTCTCTAATTGAGAGCCAGTATGGTGTTAGTGGACAGAGGGGCAGGCAGACTAGGGCTCTTGGTGACCGCCGGCCCGAATCCCTGCTGCTACTGTGGAAGCCTTCTGGGAGGCCTTGGGCCCATCGCAAATTCTCAGCCTAGCCTACCTCCCAGGGTTATTGTGGTGAGAAAACATGGGGAGAACAGTGTTCCAAGCTGCCTTAAGTCCCAACTGTGGATAGGAAAGTGGGATATAAGTAAATAAATGCGGCAAAACAAGCACACAACTATTTGCTGCTCCAGCCTATGAAAGCATGGAGGAAGCCGCAGGGATAATGGAGGACACATCTGTGGAAAACTCATAGATTCTGACAAACATATACTCAAGTTAACTGTTGCTTGGGGAAGAGGACATAAGAAGACCCTGCTGGGTCGGGCCAGCATTCCCTCTACTCCAGCAACCTGTTTCGTACACTAGCCAACCAGTGGCCCGAGAAGGCCAACAAGGCACAGAGGCCAACGCCTTATCCTGATGTTGCCTCCTAGCCTTGGTGTCCAAAGGTCTGCTACATCTGGATGTGGAGATTCCTTTTAGTCATCATGGCTAGAAACCATTGATGGGCTTCTCCTCCATGAATCTAACCCACTTTTAAAGGCATCCATGTTTGTGGCCATCGTTATGTTCTGGCAGTGAATTCCTGAGTGAAGAATTACTTCCTTTTGTCCATCCTGAGTCTATTCCCCATTAACTTAATTGGTAGTGCAATCCTAAACAGAATTACTCTGGTATAATGACTGTTTAGGATTGCACTGTAGGTGTGCTCAAATTCTAGTATTACAAGAGACTGAGAAAAAGTTATCTCGATCTGTTTCTTCTACCCCATGCATTGTGTTATAACCAGTGTTCCCTCTAAGGTGAATTAGTGTGAGCTAGCTCACAGTTTTTTAGCCTCCAGCTCACAGATTTTTGTCTTCGCTCAGGAAGGATGGCTCCCGAGCAAACTAATTAATGCAATGTACCGATTAATGTAAACCGCCCTGAGCCTGTTCGCGGGGAGGGTGGGATATAAATGCGACTAATAAAATAAATAAATAAAATAGCCAAATGGCGCATCACAACTTTAATGCCAGTAGCTCACAAAGCAGAATTTTTGCTCACAAGACTCCACAGCTTAGAGGGAGCATTGGTTATTGTTAAGTAGGCAACTCAACAACGAAGTAAGTAACAAAGTGAATCAGCTTTTATTGAGAACGAGAACTTCCAAAGATCACACAGCATCAGACGACAGGACAACACACACAGAACAACAGTGGAGCATAGCTCCTTTTAAACTTTCCAGGGCTGGTGTAGCCACGCCCTCACATAGTTAAGGTCCAATCGTATTACAGAGATAACAACCAATAAACACAGTTCCCTCCAGCACAGTTCCCTCCAGCACAGTTCTCTTACATTTGATCGGTTACAGAACATGCTTCAGCCAATAGTGTTGTTCCAGATTAGAATCCGGCTGAGGTTTCAAGCGTAACATTGTGTTTCAATGGTTAAGACACAACAGTTATTTATTTATTTAGTTATAACCCTCTAGTGTTCCCCTATACTTGTCTTTTCTCCAAACTGAAAAGTCCTATACCCTATCATAGCAGGAAAGGCGCTCCAGCACTTTATTGTACAAAGTTGTTGTTGTTGTTCAATCGCACAGTTGAGTCCGACTCTTCGTGACCCCATGGACCAGATCCCGCCAGGCCCTTCTGTCTTCCGCCATCCTCTGAAGTTTGCTCAATTTCATGTTCGTTGCATTGATGACACTGTCTTACACCCTTCTAAACCCATTGACTTTATTTAGGTTTTCACTGTTAATTACTTTAGGCTGGAATCCTATGAACGCTTTCCCAGGAGTACCTGAATGAAATGTGACTTGCTTCTGAGTCGACGTAGTTGGGATTGCTCTTTTGGCTGCACTTCTGGAGGAGGGGAGTAAGCAGATTTTGATGAGGGATGGAAGAGACCCAGTCCATGTTTATAGGGACTTTTAGCCCCTCATGGTCACCTCAGGAGGATATAGAGTTTAGAAAACAACAGGCATAGATACAGAAGACTAAAAATTATCAAGGGATTCTCTTTCCTCCGGATCTAAATTTAATAATACCTACTCTGCAAATGGAAATGTTACTAACCAGTGCAGTAGGGTTACCAGCTCCGGGAAATTCCTGGAGATTTTGGGGGTGGAGCCTGAGGAAGGCGGGGTTTGGGGAGGGGAGGGACTCCAGTGGGGTATAATGCCATTGAGTTCACCTTTCACAGCAACCATTTTCTCCAGGGTAGCCGATCCCAGGAGATCGCCAGGCATCACCTGGCAGTTGGCAACTATAAATGCAACCTAGGTGGAGTTAGGAGCTGCGGTGGCTCAAGTGGTTAAGATGCTGAACTGCAGGCTGTGGAAGGTCAGTAGTTCAGCAGTTCGAGACCCGGGTGCAGGCGCCTTGGTGTTTAGTCATGCTGGCCACATGACCACGGAAACGTCTTCGGACAGCGCTGGCTCTTTAGCTTTGAAACGGAGATGAGCACCGCGACCCTGGAGTCGGATTCGACTGGCTTTCGAGCAAGGGAACCTTTACCTTTACTTTAGGCGGAGTTACTCTAGTCTGAAACCATCCGTGTAGCTGTGCTTAGACTGGAGTCACTACCTTGTATAAACTTTGTTGGTCTAAAAGGTGCCGCGGAACTCTAACTTTTTCTCTGTAGGAATGTACAAGAAAACTTTCCTAAAACGTGTGTAAATAAGAGAAACACAATTCATAATTTTTTAAAAAAGATTCAACTGTAATTATGGAGTTTTGAACAATTTTTTTCCATTTGTGCCCCTTTCAAATTGAAGCAGTGTACATTTTTAGTTTTCATTTAAGCTTACGAAAACTATATTCGCTCTCTCAGCCATCAACTTCCCCCAATTCCCAAAGCAGAAGACATTCTCCCTTCTTCACGTCGGTGGCCTCACACACCAATCATAAAGCCGTACAAACCTTGGCTCCCGAATTGGTGGACGAGACTGTCAATCTGAGCTCGGTTTTAAGGCCACGCCGGGTTCCAGGGCCCCTCCCCCTCCGAACTAGAACCCAACCGCCCTCCCGGCGAGGACCAATCTGGGAAGGGAGTCGGACTCGTGGGCGGGACATCGGCGCCGATTGACCGACCGCCGGCCCAGTGGCGCCGCGACTCGGGGCGAGGCGTTCCTCCAGAAATAGGGGCGGCGGACCGGGACGCCGCGAGTGGGAGATGGGAGGAGTCAACTACGCCAGACGGAGCAAGACGGCGGCGCATGAGGAGCCCGACGAGCAGGACTCCTCTTGGGAGGAGCTGCCCACGCCGCCGCGGTCGCCGCCCCTGCCGGTCGGCACCGCCTGGAGCCCGGGCCCCGCCGCCGGGACGGCCCGAGGGCGAGCGATGCTGGGCGCGGGGGGCGGCGGCGCGGGGGCCAAGCCAGCCAAGCCCTCCTTCGTTTCCTACATTAGCCCTGAGGTGAGACCGGGCGGCTGGGAGGAGAGAGTGAGGGCGGGGCGCGGGGAAGGGAAGGGGCCGAGGAGGAAGCGGGGAGGGTGGAAGGGAAGCGGGAGCCCGGGGGAAGGTCCTTTGAAAACGACCCCGGTCTAATTCCAACACCTGTGTGTGATATTTTATATGCTTTGTAATTTTGCAATATATCTTCCACTAAAACGTTTTTTTAAAGGAAAAGGTCCGATTTGCCTCCCTTTTCCCACTACAAATAGTAATATTGGTAGTATCTGTTATTTGTGCGCGCCCCCCCCCGCGCCCCCTCCCCAGCTTTTATGTTGTTTATGACTCTGGTTGCAAAAACAGTAAGCAGTAATAACACCCATCATCATCATCGATATGAAACAAGGCCATGTGAACGGTAGCCTAACCAGGTGTTCATTGCTTTTTCACAAAAAAACCTTCCTTGATACATTGGTACTGGTTTAGATTTATGTGCATTGACTGATAACCCTCGAGGGTTTTGGTGTGTTGGTTTTTAATTGAAAGATTTCACCTCGTTGTGCTAAACTGTTTTGAGCTTTATTTTTCTTCTTAAATGAAGGGTATGGCTAGTAAACCCTCGTTAAATAGACTTCATCGTGAATCTTCTGTGAAGACGGAAGTCACTTCCCTATGTAAAAATGTGGCCCTAGATAGGCAATTAAATTGTATGTGTAAACCGCTCAGAAGACCCTTCGGGGTTAGAGCGGTATAGAAACGGAAAGTTAAATAAATAAATAAATGGAACTGTATAAACAGTTTTGTGTCTATACTTTTGTTTATATATTTCTCACTTCCTTTAACGCCTTTGGAAGGGAGATAAAGGTATTATTAGGTAGCGGTGATTGCAGTCAAGGGTGCTTGGGAAAGACGGTATAGGGTCAAAGGGTAGTGCTGGAGGTATTTCCTGTCATCCCAGTGTTGAAAATTGGAGTTGCTGGTAGGATAAGACAGTTATACCTTTGGGTTAACAGTTAACTAGACAGTGGCAGGGTTGCAGTTAACTTAATGTTCCAGCAGTGTTCCTCAACTAATGTGCTCAGCAGCACGTAGGCTTTCTGTATAATGTGTTGCTGTTAAAACAAATAGCAACACTGATTCACTTAGGACATAGAACAAAGTTTGAGTTCAGTGGCGCCTTTAAGACCAACAGACTTAAACCCAGAATTAAACTTCGTTGGTCGTAAAGATGCAGGTGGACTCAAACTGTATTCTTTTGCTTCAGGCCAATACGGCTGCCCACCTGAATCTCACTTAGGAGGTGAGTGAGATGGCACTGTGAAGTGTATCATTTTAAGCTGGTGGCCTTGGAGTCTAAAACCTATTCTTTGTGTTTAGCCTGCTGCAGAGTCAAGGAATAAGGATGCTAAACTAACTGCCATATGGAGTATTCTGCAAATTACTTTTGAATGACCTCTTTTTTCCCCCTGTGGGGAGTAGTTTGCAGTTGCTTGATGGTGTCCTGGATAGCCCAGGCTAGCCTGATGTTTTCAGATCTCAGAAGTTAAACAGTCGATTGACCCTGGCTAGTATTTGGATGGGAGCTCTGAGGAATACCAGGGTCAGGAAGCAGAGCCAGGGAATAGCAAATCACTTCTGACTTGACAGCAAAGGGAAAAAAACAGTGAAGTAACTGCACTCTGTTCATGCTTAGAGGTCTGATTTCTGATTCTACTTATAAAATACCTGCCATTCTAATGGGTGCAGCATGTACAATGAGGGGGCTTGTGTATTGTAGGCATTCACGTGTGTGTGTGTTCTCCTACTACATTACTAATAGTGAGCGCTGCTTGCTGTTTGGGGGGGAGCAGGATTTCCCCCCTCAATACATATTCGTAGCTTCCATAGGAGATTTGAAATTTAATATATTCTGTATTTTTCCATGTATTTCCATCCACTTTTTGCTTTTTTACAAGTCCACCGCATATGGTAAAAGTTCCGTCTATATATTGACATTTTTAGCATTTTCCTTTGTAATTTTTGTCTACTTTCTTGATAATCCTCAGAGTAATATACCATCTAAAACATTTTATAACAATGATCTTTTAATGCCTGACTGGCTGTGAACTTAACTTCCTTTTCCCACAACCATTCCCATTGATGCATAGGTATCTGCTCTTTAAAATTCTGCATTCATTTAATCATACGTTTTTCACTTGTTCTTTTTCTGTTTCTATCTGAAGTAATAGCTTATATATCCAATGTAATAAATTGTAATCAGTTGTTCAGACTCAGTCATCTCTCTTAGCACTCCACTTTCCATGTTAATAATCTCTAGTCTTGAAGCTGACTGGTAATATAATAACCATTGAATATCAATTCTTTCATCTTTAATATCTTGCCATGACTTAAGTTTCCCCTGAGTGTTTACCATGTTACCATATGTTAAGAAATCACTTTTATTCCTCATATTCTTATCATGATAAACTTCTCTTGGAGACATAAGCGGAGAGTTTGAAGGACTCAGTACAGTCCAATGTGTAAACCGTATTTTGAACAGTCCGATGTGTAAACCATATTTTCTCTGATTATATTTACTATTATATGTTCATTATGTTTGACTTACAGCCCTCCCTCCCATGCACAGCAGGTTCAGGGTGGGTTACAGCATATTTTAAAAACTTACAGAGATTTTTAATTAATACATAAATCATAAAAACAATTATGACAGTCTTACTGTAAAACCTATAAGAGGTGCCAGCTAAACAATTTAATGCATTTCAGATCCTGTGTAGCTGTAGATCAAAACAGAAGAAGGGAGGCAGGTGGGTGAGGAGCAGCTATGATGGATTATAAATGCTGTGAAAGCAGAGCTAGGCAGAGCAGAGCGCGGGAGGTCATTGTAGATGGATTGTCGCTGCCTGGACCAAAGGCCTGGTGGAGCATCTGCATTTTACAGGCCCTTTGGAACTGCATTAGATCCTGCAGGGCCCGGATCTCCTAGTGAGAGTGTTCCGCCAGGCTGGTACCAGAGCTGAGAAGCTCTGGCTGTAGAGGCTAGATGAACATCTTTGGGGCTGGGAATGACCAGTAGGTGTTGAGCAGAAGAGCGCAAGGCCCTTTGAAAGTCCCACAGGTGTGTTGGTCCCAGTCCACATTGGGCTTTAAACTTACGACTTTTCTTGTGCTATAATTTTAATTGGTTTTTTAACCATAAATAATTATGTAAACTCTCATCTAGCTCTGCTGATTCAAGGTTTATTCTCTGTTTCGGATTTTTGATCCAATCCTCGATCCAGACACCACCACCACCACCCCGTGGCATTTGAAATAAGAAATTTAATTTTGGCAATACCCTCATTTTGATTGCTGAAATTCTACCTAGCCATGAAATGTTTAATTGTTTCCATCTGGACAATTCTGCTTGTATTGATTTCCAAATCATCTGATAGTTATTTTTGAACAATTTACAATTTTGTCCAATCACATTTATCCCCAGATATTTGATAGGTTCAGTGGCTAAAGTGCTCTTTATAATATCTTCTTGTTGTGTTAGGAATTGCATTATTTTTGTCTTCTTCCTTTTTTATATCCTGAAATGGATCCAAATTCCTCAATATGTTCCATTACATACTGTGACGATTTTTGTGGATCCAAAAATACTACAGTCAATTCACCAGCATATATGTCCTCCTATAGTTAAAACTCAGTAAAATACTTCAGAATAACACTGGCCCAAGGTAGGTAGTAAATGTGTTGTGCTGCCCACAGATTTCTTTGTTAGGACAGGGCTCAAGGGCAGCTTAGTATTGATTTCTGGTCTAACTGTTTAACCATGGACCAGATTTGATGTTTGGAATGAATTCTTTTCTTCAGATGTACTAAATATGTCAATTTAACATTAATAGAACCTTCAGTGGTACCTCTTCTGATTATTTAACTGTGTGTATACAAAATTGTCAAATGACGTTTCAGAAGGCCAAGTATTTCCTTGAAGAATTTACAGCCAGCATTAATACAGCTACTGAGCCTAATCAACACCTCAGATGAGCTTCCTTTATATAGAGTATCTATGTTTGTCCATTCAACACATAGGGAAATAGCAAGGATTTTTGTCAGAGTGTACCTTGCCAAAGAAATGAAAGCAAATATTTGAACTTGTTCGTCAAGTCAGCTCCATACTGGTTCTACTTGTCTTTAGTTTCGTTCTGGTCTTAACCGAATGAAGAGTTTGAAATAAAGCATGACTATCCAATATTTACAGCTTGACTGTAAATACATTGCTGAATCTGTTTTTAAGACCAGTCAACTCCGGTTTGCAGATTTCTTGGATTAAGGTTTAACACAGAAATCTGCATTCTAATGTAATATTACGCCAGATACCAGGCTGTCCCTGGCAGTCAGACGCCCTCTGGATGAACTTGGACAAAGGCGATCTAGCAGTATGTCCAGCTGAGGGGTGTCCTGGAGTAACTGCCACTTGGCTTTGTAAATAATGTGGGGGAGATTCCGTGATAAAAGTCCTGTTTGCTAGATGTGAGCAAGGCAGAGTTTGGGGAACCAGAATGTTTTCAAACAGTTTTTGTTTAAAATGCCTCTGTGTTCTTTACTGGAAATATGAAACACTGAAATATGATGGTTGTTCCACAGTTGTAAAGATCACTTCAGGGTCTTCATTCATTCTATCTTGTCCTTCTTTCAAGCAGCTCAGGATGATGCACGTGGGTTTCTTTCCTTCCATTGCTGCTTCATCTACATTATTTCACTAGGTTGTTGACTTGGCTGAGATGGTAACTGGCACAAGGTAGTGCATTGAGTTTCATGGCAAAGCAGACTTCAATCCAGTGTTCCCTAGTTTGTCTGCCATGCCATGGAGTCTTTGTGCGACCTTAAAGTTTGCGTATTGCTTAAGTGTTCTCAGTCCAGTTAAAATCACCATTTCTAAAGGCTTGAAATTTTGTTCGTCTGCTTCTCATTTAATTTGCCCATTTCGAAGGCACTCCTTGGCTTGGTGCATATAACAAGTGCAAAATCATCCAAATGGG